CTGTAGTGGAGTATGGTCGATTTCACTGGCACTCTTCATGGGAAACCACTCCGCTGTTGACTAGCACAGGAATGTGGAGTGCTGTGATCCAGATTCATTGTATAGATCTCGTTCTCGTTCTCGTTCTCATTCTCTTTCTTTTTCTCTTTTCCTTTTTCCTTTTTCTCCTCCTTTTTCAAATAATATTGTGGCTGAAATGCTGGAAATCCTAGGATATGTGACTAGCTTGATATATTAGTTTCAGTCAGAGCTCAATGGGCTTATCTTTTCATGTTATTCCTCATTTTATGTGTGTTTACGGGATTATGGCTTTTTTTCAAGTTCAAAAGAATCTATTAAAGAAAAGATAAAATATTCCTGTGGGGTTTTTTTCCTCTGCTTTTAAAAAATATGCTCCTAATGCCATGGAATAGCTGCCCCCAGTGTAAGAGAGCAGAGAATATAGGGAAATTTCATGGTTTAGAAGCAAAGGCAATTGTAGGCAAGCTCTTTTATGTGCTATCATATGTATCATCTGCTAGGCAGCCTTGTAAGTTAGTAAATTTGAAAGTTTTTAGTGCCTATTACCTGCATTGGTGCAGGCAGTGGTCTCCCCACACACATAGACTACCCTGTTCCTTAAGGCTGAGAAGGCAGATCTTTGGTGTCTTCTTTTGTACTTCAAAACTGTACTCATTAAAAATATTTGGAGAGTCCACTGGTGCTTAAGTTTATATGTCAGAGCGCACAGGATACAAGATCAGGATGGTTAATTTCAAAAAGAAAGATAGATAATTCTGATAACCCTTTGGGGCATATTGTAGGCTACTAGATTTGTCATGGATGTTGAATGCACAATGAAGCAGTTTTCTGATCCATGATGCCTAGACTGTAGTTTGCTATGTCACCATTCAGATTTCTTTCAGACATTTTGCAGTGGTATGGAGAGCCATCATGAAGGAAGCAAAAGGCTTCCTCGGCGTTTAGTAATCTTCTTCCACTCACAAAACATGAGGCAGTCTATAATGAGCTCCAGATCCAAGTAGATCTGTTTTAATAGATCATGTACTGGTCTGGCCAAGTAGTAATATTTAATAATCAAAAGTGCTTTGTTAAGTTATTGTAGTTTAATGTTAACATATTTGATAGTCAAACCTTTAAGTGCTTTTGTTTTTCTAATCTTGTTTTGTAGGTGGTGAACCCATCTGGATCCCATTCACTTTTAAATACGATCCCACATACTCAGAATGCAGTGGCAAGCAATATGTGAAACGGACATGGTACAGGAAATTTGTAGGTGTTGTTCTTTGTAATTCATTGAGATACAAGATTTACCTCAGCGATGACCTGAGAGGTATGTATTTGGGTCATCTGGCAGTGCTGGGATAAGATACAGTAAAGCCTTGCATCAAAAATAAATTTGATTACCTTGTGTGATTATAATGCATCCAGGCTATTGGCTGGCCTACAGTACATAGATCAGCCTTTCCCCCCCATTTCTTTTAATCCTGTCCAAGATATATACTGGAAGCACTTTGGCTAGTTTACTAGTCAGTTTTCAAAGTTTGATATTATTGTTTGGGGTAAGCTGAAATTCCATTATTTGAGTTCTCCATGTGCTTTCAAGTGAGTGAGATGCAGCAGGAAGAAAAGAAGCCATATTTTGTAGTGGAGTACCTACCTACCATGAGCTAGTGATGACTGCAGATTTTCCTCTTTCTTGTTAAAATTTTGGTTTGGGTGCCACTGCAAGGAGTAGCAAGCCTGTGACTTCTTGATGGCCTAGTAGGCTATGGTGTCATACCATAATGTTCACTTTAAACAGTGCTATGTCCTAGGTACTATCATTCAAGACGATTAGATTGATAGTTCACCACACAGTATAAAATGTCAGTTCAGTCTCAATCATTTCAGCTAAATTCACCACAATTTTGGAAATTTGGAGATTTCTCATTTCCTCACATCCTTGAGAATCTGAGAAATACTATTTCATTTTCAGCCAGTGCGTAATGAGGTAATGTTTTAACTCAGATCTAAATGGAATCAGTCCCACCTTTTTAAAAAGAAATATTCCATAGCAGAACCAGATCAAGAAGCAACAATCATGTCTTAATTTTTAAATTGTGATTGAAAATATTTTAAATGTGTTATTTTAATCCATGTCTTAAACATTGACACAAATTTTAAATGTGTTATTTTTAGGGAAAAAATGCTTAAAATAGTATGTGTGCACACCAAATGTAATTTGTTTAAAAGAATATCAGAGTAGAAATAGAGTGAAATGGACTTAAGGGTTTAAACATGAAAAACAAAACAAAACACAGCCTGGAAATAAACTCATTTGCTAATTGTAATGCTCAGACTCAGTTCAGTTTCCCAAGCCTATTTCAGTGTGGGGGGTGTTTCTGCACACATTCATGTACGGATGTGTGTACCAGGGATGTATTTTCTGTGGAATAAGAATAGTGCTACCTCATTTTAATGCAAGTTCTTAATTATATATATGCTAATTGCACCTAATGCAATGAAAAAAGGTAAGCACAACACAGAAAGACTGCTACCAGCCCAGTGGCAAACGTGCCACTTGAAGACAAGAGAGCTTTAAGTGTGGTTCTCAGCCAACTACTTTTGACTGAATTCAGGAATGCTGGCAAGGACCACTGGTTCCTTTCTGTACTGTGCCAATGGATTCTTTCACCATAATGCTCCTATTATTGCAGAAATGCATAAATATAATAAGTAAGCTACTACCAAGGAAGGGACAGAAGATTCTTCTCCCTAGAACTGTACTCTTGGCTGCAGTGAAGTCGTTGTAAGTGCTTCTCACGTATGTCACTTTTTCCAGATACATTTTACAGCATTGGGGATAGCTGGGGAAGAGGAGAAGATCACTGTCAGTTTGTGGATTCCCACTTGGATGGACGAACAGGACCACAGTCCTATGTGGAAGCTCTCCCTCCTATTCAAGGTAGATATAAACACTGTATTAATTTGATGAGGTCCTGGAGATTTACATTGCATGCCAGTTGTAAAATGAAGGCATCTTATGTCCAGTTCTTCAAAACCTATGATTTTGTAATAAAGTTGGACCTTCTGTTCCCAGCTCTCCCAAAGCATCAGCAAATGTGTCCAGGCAGTTCAGTATTTTAAGCCCTCAATGTGGTGCTCCCCAAATCTATTGGAATTCCAACTCCCAGCCAGCATCAGAATTAGAGATGGAGCACATTTGCAAAATATCACACTGAGGGAGGTTATGGCAAATTATTTCATTTTCGATTTTTTTTTTCAGTATGGGCAGTGACTGGGAGAGTTTTTAGAACCCTTAGCATTTTAGCACATAAAAGGAAATACTTTATCACCAAAAGCCTAGGATCATGCTGTGCTTTGCTTTCTATGCAAGCGTGATGTGCCTGACTATGGAGAAGAAACACAGAATGCCCTGAAATAACAGACTTAGCACAGAAGTCAGCATTTCAGGTAGCCCTCCATCTGTGTGGAAAGGAGTGCTGAGAGTCTCTTAATATTTTAAGCATTCCACTTCTTCCTACAAATAGGTTTGTCTCTGTCATTTGAAAATGGTTATCTTTAACTTGGTTCCTTTAATTTCTTAATTTCACCCTTTTTTTAATTGCTAGCACTGATATTTCTGCCTTCCCTGTTCTGTTCTTCCCAATGGTCACCTCTGATCAGTATGGCAGAGGCAGAGTACACCCCTGCAACTTTTTTCAGATTGCAGGGAAAATGCTATGATCTGCCAAATTGCTAGTTTAATTTGTGTTTACGTAGCAAGAGCTGTTCCTACATTAATTTTTTTTTTTTTATCTGCGCTCAGTCGTTACCGACTCTGCAGTGACTGCTTGGACAAGTCCTTGCAGTTTTCAAGGCAATTGTTTTCAGAAGTGGTTTGCCAGAGCCTCCTT